GGGAGGGAGGGAGGGAGAAAGGAAGGAAGGAAAGAAAGAAAAAAGACGGAAAGAGAGAAAGAAGGAAAGAAAGAATTATTGGCCAAGTGTGATTGGGCACACAAGGAATTTGTCTTGGTGCAAATGCCCTCAGTGTACACAAAAGAAAAACATTCGTCAAGAGTCAAGAATCATCAGGTTCAACGCTTAATGACAGTCACAGGGTACAATAAGCCATCAAAGCATACCAAGATACAGTCCGTATAAATCGTAAGGATACAAGCAACCAAGTTACAGTCCTACAGTCCCAAGTGGGAGGGGATGGGCGATAAGGAGGGATGAGAAGGTTAATAGTGATAGCAGTGCAGACTTTGTCAATAGTTTAGAACTTTTAAGACTTAAGTGGATTTCAACTCTCAGAATTCTGGGACTTTCAGCCCACTAGCTTTCAAGTTCTAATGTCGGACACCCCTAGTAGAGGGTCCCCTCCTTGAGCAGGGGGCTGGACTAGAAGACCTCCGGGGTCCCTTCCAGCTCTGTTCTGACTGATTGCCCCACTGGGCAGGGATGCAGGTGACCCCGAGGACACCTCGGGGGTGTGCAGGCCTTCTCTGGGACAACTCTAAGGTCCAGCAGGCAGGAATCCCACCCACCAGAGCCCTCCCCCAAGCGTCCCCAAGGGGCCCAAGGGGAGGAGGGGAAGGCCCCAGGCCTGGGCCCTCTCCTGAAGCACTTACAAGGCCGGCCGGACGCCGATGAGGAGGAGGACCTGCAGGGCGATGCGCCGGTGGAGGTTCCAGTGCTCAACCGCGATGGCCACCAGGAGGCCCCCGATGAAGAGCATGTTGGTGTCCTTCAGGTATTCCATGCACACCTGCAGGCGAGCAAGACAACAGGATGAGGGAGTTTGAAGGGGCCTCGGAGATCTTCTAGTCCAGCCCTCTGCTCCAGCAGGAAATCTTTTAGGTCAAGGTTTTTTTTTTTTAATTTATATACAAATATTTTGAATACAGTGTATTGTCCAGGCTGTATTGTGTCCGTCTGTGAGTCAGACTTTTACAGTTTTACACAACTGTAAAAGTCTGACTCACAGACGGACACAATACAGAAGCCTGATGATGGCAGATGAGATTCTGCCGAAACGTTGCTACAACTTTAAAAGCACAACTACAATGACGTGGGAAAATACCCGAACAAAGCTGAATGCCATACATACATACATACATACATACATACATACATACATACATACATACATACATATACTGATAACAAAAGTAATAGTACAACAAAATGATTCTAACCATATTTATAATAATCTTAGCTTATTTGTAATCCTACTGGTTATATTAGCATACTTATAGTTATAAACCATGTTTAATTTAAACATAAACTCTTTCTTCATCTAATTTCTACCTCTTATCTCTACCCATCGATAAAACCCATTCTGGGAATTGAATCCCACAAAACTTAAAGTTCCCAAGATTAGACACCCTTGTCCTGTACCATCACTTGAGACTTTCAAGAAGAGATTGGACTCCCACCTGTCGGAAATGGTGTAGGGTCTCCTGCTTGGGCAGGGGGTTGGGCTAGATGACCTGCAAGGTCCCTTCCAACTCTGAGTATCTGTGATCTGTTACCATCCCTGAGAAATGGCCGCCCGGTCTCTTCTTGAAAACCTCCCGTGATGGAGCACGCACAGCTCCTGGTGGCAAGCAGTTCCCCTGGCTAATTGTCCTTCCTGCCAGGACATTTCGCCCTAGTTCCAAGTTGCTTCTCTCCTTGATCGCTTTCCATCCGTTGCTTCTTGTCCGTCATGTGCTTTGGGGAACAGGTGGACGCCATCTTCTCCCCCACAGCCCCACAAATATTGGAAGATGCTCTCGAACCCAGCACCCTTCCCTCTTCCCTGCCCAGCTGGGCCCTCCCGACTCCCCTGCTTGGCGTACCGTGGAGGAGTCCATGATGCCCATGAGGGGGAAGAAGAGGACGGGGAAGAGAGCGGTCACCGCCAGGGGCAGGGCTTCCGTGCACCAGAAGATGGCCATCACGATGATGGTGTAGCCGCATTGGGCTTCCTGGGGGAAGAAGAGGAGAAGCTGGTCAAAGAGAAGGTTTGGGCCCTGAGCGCAGCAAGTGGGCAGGGCTGCCATCCTGGGAGGGCCCCTGCTCTCCAGCTCTTTCAACACAATCTGTAAGGGGTGGGGGGAGGCAGCACCAGACTTTTTGCAAACACCAAAAGAGCCACAAACTGTAACAGGAAATTGGGATTTCACTTGTGCCGTATGAGTGCAGCCCCTGCCGGGCACCTGATGAGACTCGGCTGCTGCCCACCAAGGCCGCTTCTGCCGCTTAATCACATTTCTGGGCTGGAGACGGAGCTCCTGCGCTGCTCGTTCATTCCGCTCCTCCTGGGTGTTAAGTATTTCTTAAGGGCAGCAACTTTGACCTCTATGGACTTCAACTCCCAGAGTTCCCCAGGCAGCGGGTTGAACTCCACCCATCTTAAGACATGCTGGCTGGCTGGGGGATTCTGGGAGTGGAAGCCCTCCCCTCTTCAGTTGCCACGGCTGAGAAACACGGACTGAAGAGGCACCTGTTCCATACTCGCAGACTTGAAAACCTGCATTCCCATTGGTCTGTTTCAACCGCTACCTGATTGGACAGCCTGGGCAGTTATAATTGGCTCGCTAAGAGTCTGCCGCGATTGGTTGAAACCAAGCGCGGGAGACTTGAAGCAGCGTCATTGGCCGCCAAGCCGCGGCAAGCTCTATAAAAGAGCCGCCGCGGCTGCTATTGACTTGACTTGTTCCTGCCGATAAATAAAGAGCTGTTGGTACTGAAGTGAAGTCTCTCGTCTTTATGAGCCCGAACCTCCGAACTTAACAGCACCCAACCCCAAACGGATGCCCTTCAGATGTTTGGTGGGCCCAACTCCCAGCGTTGAGAAACCAGGAAGACGCAGGGAGGGTTGCATCACCTGGGCTGCCCCAGTTGAGGGCGTCAACCCCAGCAACTCCCCAGAGAGCAAGGCCGTTGCAAGAACTTGGAGGGTTGAGACGGGAAGAGCTGGGAATTCCCATGCTGGTGAAACTCGGCTCCGGGCCTTCCCGCTGGGACCGTTCCCAGAAGA